CACGCGCGCCCTCCCGGCCTCTGGGGCGGCCTGGGCTGGGCTGTCCCGTCCCCCCCACCCCACCCCCAGCCCCCCTAAGGCGGGCGCTTTCCAGAAACTTCTGGCAAAGCCGCTGGGGTCCCAGGGTCTGGGTGCCCTCGACGGCACTGGGCTCGCCGCAGCACTCCAGTCTCCGCCCCTCTGGGTCGTCAGAGCTGCTTGGAGTCCAGGCGGGGACACGGCGCACCCCCAGACCCGGTCTGGAGGGAGCGACCGCCGTTGTTTAGGGTGCGGGGGAAATTGTTAAGCCAGTGCCTCTGCGGGAGAGTTTGCATGCGTGTGGTAGCCCGGCTTTGGAACTGACTTGCCAGAAACTCTTGCTCCAAACTCGCCCGAGGGATGGAAGCTGCAGAGACTGGCTTTGCACTGGAGACCGTTGCTGTGGCTTTGAAGCAAGCCCTAAGTCATGCCATGGTCATGTCAGACCGGTTCGGGTTTGTTTTTAAAGTTTACTCAAGACAGGCTTACTATGTAGCCCTGGCTGGCTCGTATGTATGTCGACAAAGCTAGCCGAGAAATTGGGGCGCTCCGCCTGTTTCTGCCTCCCGAGTTTTGGGATAAAAAGGCATTTGCCACTGCCTGGACAAGTTTTCTCTGGATGTATGCCAGCCTGTCTGCCACCTTGGCACCTTCACCATTTTCCAGGGAGGAGAGATGTGGCGTGCCTTTTGTATTTTCCAGTCTGCCCTGGGGGGTCGAAGATATTAATAGCTGACTTTTCTAATCTGCCTTTTTAATTTGAAAACGCAGTACTTGCAGAACAAGCTTCAGGTTTGAGGGTGGATTGATATTGAGAGCACATGCAGAGCAGTTAGCTGTTGGTCAGCTTTACTCTCCGATGTTTATTGCCATCACCTGACAAAAAATTTACAGCGGTAGTTCTGATTGAAGCCAATAGGAACTTCACGTTTAGCATTTGTCTAGAGAGTGCTGGGATTGCAGTTTTGGATACCACATCTAGCCTTGGGGTGAAAATTTCAAATCTGTTCATTATGGAACTTAAAGGTTAATAGTGAAGCATGCTTGGCAGATGAACAACAAATAAAAATGTTCACTCCTTTTGTTGCTGTAGCTGAGTCATTATTATTTAAGGAACACTTGATACTCTTCCTCAGTAGTTTTTTCTGCTTATATGTCTTCCCGCTGTTTTTCTTTTGTCATTTGTCAGCTGCACCTCTAGAGTCAAAGTTGGACCTTAAACTTCTATTGTATTTATTGTGTGCATGCCATGGTGTTGGTGTGGAGGTCAGAGGACAACCTGCAGGAGTCAGTTGTCTCCTTTCATAGGGTTTCCAGGGTCAGACTCGGGTTGTCAGCCTTGGTGCCAAGCATCTTTGCTAAGCCCTCTTTTCTCTTACTGACTTTGAGACTGGGTTTCAGAGTTTCACTCTAGCCCATAGTGGAGCTCACTGTGTAATCTAGGCCAGCATCCTTTTGTCTCAGTTTCCTAAGGGATGGGATTGATTGATTGTAGGAAATGAGCCACCAGGCCTGTCCACATGGCTATTAAAATGTATGTATGTATGTATGTATGTATGTATGTGTATTCTTTGAGGATAGGTAATGCATTCGTACGGTTCATTTTTTTTCCTCTGTTAGTTTTGTCTTCCAACCACTCAGTTCTCTTCCCATAGTCAATCAGGAAAACTCAGTTTAAATATATTTCAATGAAGATATATCACATCCAGTCTCTGCTGCAAGAATTAGCCATGTGTTTGGTGCCATTTTGCTTTGAATTTAGGAGGATGGTCTTAATTGAGCAGCTCTTAGTTGTCCAGCAAAAGGAAACCTAGACAAGATTTTCATTCTCTTAGAGCTCACAAGATGGTGTGGCTAGCACGGATAGGAAATGAGTAAATGAATAAATAAGAATGCCAGACAGAAAATTGTAGCACTGTGTAGCAGATGAAACAGAGTAATAGATAGTATGGATAGGCAGAGGGTAGGAGACTGGCAGAGTTAGCGTGGTCAAGTAGGTGAGGTGTGACTTAGATCATAAGAAACAGTCGGTTGAGGATTTAGCTCAGTGGTAGAGCACTTGCCTAGCTAAGCGCAAGGCCCTGGGTTCGGTCCTCAGCTCTGAAAAAAAGAAAAGAAACGGCCAAGGGAAGATTGGAGGAAGAACATTTGAGTTGAAAGGAACCTGGTATAGTGGTCCTAAAGTGGGGGAAAGCTTGACTACTGAGGGTTAGGATGCCTCGTCTGAACAGTATGTTGATGGAAAGTGGAAAGACAATATGCTCCTGGTCAATGACAGCTGAGGAGAGACATTGATCCCTTAGCCTGACCTGTGTGATTTGGATAAAGATGCTTCTTGTTAGTGTTAGATGAGTGATAGTCTTTGTAGCTGGACCACAGTTTGCAATAAAGGTAAGTTTGTTGTGTGTTTGGAGGTTTACTTTTCCACATTGGTAAAGTGAGATAATACTACTTCAAGGGAATTCTTACAAGAACCAAATAAGATTAAAAAGACGAAAGAGAAGTGTTGGCAAGGTTGTAGAGAAAATGGAACCCTTGCTCATTGTTTTTTGCAATGATAGTACTGCCAGTACAGAAAACAGTATGTATGGCGGGGCAGTGAAATGACTCAGCAGGGAAAGTGCTTACCATACAAGCCTAAAGAACAGAGTTCAATCCCTGGAGCCTATGGAAAAGTAGAAGGAGAGGACCAACTCCCTAACTTATCTACACACACACACACACACACACACACACACACACACACACACAGAGTGCCAAACAGTATGGAGAGTTTTTTTAAAAACAAACAAACAAAAAATAAAACCAAACACTCAGAACTACCATACAATCCTGCTATACCACAGCTGAATGTATATCCAAAGGAATTGAAATCAGTATGTTGAAGAGACGTTTGTAGGATGTTTATTACAGCACTATTCAGCACCACTCATGGTAGCCAATAAATAGAAGCAATGGAAATAATATAAATGTCCTTCAGCTGATAAATGGATAAAAAAGTGTGGCACATTCAATGGAATAGTAATCAGCCATAAAAAGAATGAAAGTACAACATTTTCAGCAACATGGATGAAGTTAGGCATCTTATTAAGTGAAACAAGCCAGGCATAGAAAGATAGATACTTTAAGGACTTGAGGGCTCATGTATAACAACAACAACAAAAAAATCATTACCAGAAGAGTTGAATAGAAGTTACCAGAGGTGGATGAGACTGATTGGCGGGAGAGGATCGGGAAAAGTTAATCAATGGGTACTGAGTCACAGTTAGATGGTTTTAAAATTCTTCATTAAATTCTGTGTCAGTGTCGGTTGATGATTCTGCATTTATTGAGTGTATACATTTATATCTTTATATTCTATAATAGTGGAAATACTGTTTGTCAAGACGTATATAACCACATTTAATGCTGTAAGCATTAAGTAAACATAGAATTTATATAACACAATGAAAATTGCTTCATTATCCATTTTATAAAATAACCTTTGCTGTTTCTTTTTAGAAATGTTATGAACAGAAGCAGTACAAAAATGGCCTCAAATTTTGCAAGATGATTCTTTCAAACCCAAAATTTGCTGAACATGGAGGTACTGTCTTATTTGTGACAATGTTGCTTTGGGGGAATATAATTCTAAAATCAGGCAGGACTTGGCAGTGAAGGAATAATTCTCAGATTCCAAGGCTGTGACTATTGAAAGCATAAATGTTAGCATTTTTTGTTATATTTCAAGTGAATCATGCTGAGCTAGGTTTATGCTGTAGTGTCTGTAGTGTCTTTTAGATGAGAAAGTTGACCTGATGAGGGACAATTGGATGAGGTAATGTGCATGTTAGTATCTTTTTCTGAAGTGCTTCAGATATCAAAGGTTTTCAGATTTTGGATTAATGCTTAGATTACCAGTTGAACATCCCAATTCAAAAAACCCTGAAATCTTAGTTTCAGATCTTGGAGCACTTAGGATTAGGGATGCTCAGTTTTGTCGATTACATTTGTCTGTCACTTTGACTAGGCTACAATTTTTTACTTTAGTTACTTGTATATAAAATTGACGGTTATTTGCAGTATAGAATTGTGTGAAGATAAAGTCACATGCATTTTATTCTTTGATGCCATTTTTTTATGTATTTCCTTATTTCTTAATGTTTATTTATCATGTGTGATTATGCATGTTGGTTGCATGCATTCCACAGTGCGTGTGTGGAGGTCAAAGGACAACTTCTGAGAATTGGTTCTCTTCTACCATGTGGGTCCTGTGGCTTGAACTTGGGTTGTCAGGCTTGAGCGAGTATTTACCCACTGAGTCCTCTGGCTGGCTCTGACTGCCTCATCTTTATATAAATATATTACCATTGATCCATCATTATGTTGTTGACATGTTTTTTGCTTGCTCGTTTGTTTTGGTCATTGTTCCTAATAAAGTTTACGTTTATTTTTTTCATCCTTTTTACTGGTAGGCATTGTTTGCTGAAAGGATCAGGTCAAACTTGCAGAACATGATCCATAATATAATATAGCTAATTAAGATCTTTCAGAATACTAGTTGTGGACAACTTTTAAAACCATTTAATTAGGAAAATGGGCTGATAATACTCACTGTTTTAAAAATGTTAGAAGACCTTTTGAAAGAAATATAAGTAAGTTTTCATTTTATGAAGTTTGAGAAAATGACAGATGTTTGGCTATGGTAATGTGCAGTTGGACCACTGTGTTCTGAAAACTATAGAGTCCACAGAGATCATTTTGAAAATCACTGTTATTATCTGATTCCTTTGTGGGTTTTTCAGAGAAATATTTTATTGTAAATCATCTTTCATTAACTTCTAACATTTTCTTGAGTTGCTTGTCTGTAGTCCAATGTTACACTCTCCAAATACAAACTAATGTTAATTAGACTAAGTAGAATTGTTGAAATAAATTTACTGGCTAAAAGAGATTCTGTTCAATATTGAATAGGGTTATAATGATCACAACATATATTTTTAATTAAGTAGAGTCTTGCTGTTTGTGAGTATAAACTAGATTGGTTAGAATTGGTCTCAGTGGGATGGAGCAATACTTAGTGGACACAGTGCTCACAGTGGGCGCGGTGCTTGCCGGGCAATTTTGGGGACCTGTATTTGCATATCCAGAACCCTTGTAAAAGCCAGCTGTGGAAATGGGGTCTGTGATCCCATTGCTTCTACAGTGAAATGGGAGGTGGAGATACTTGAGTCCCTGGAAGCTCATGGACCAGCTAGACTGGTAAAAAAAAGCCTAGAGACCCTGTCTTAAAGAAGGTGAACATTGAGGAACGACATCTGAGGTTGTCCCCTGACTTCCACGTGCCTGACGTACTCACCTGCACTCACACACAGACACATGCAAAAATGAATTGGCCTTGAGAAAATGTGGAACTACTGTAGTCAATTTAATTCAAGAGGACTCAGATGCCTGCTTTGTTAATTTCCCTTTATATACAGTTTTTTTTTTAAAGATTTATTTATTATGTATAGAGTGTTCTGTCTGCATGTATCCCTGCATGCCAGAAGAGGGCACCAGATCTCATTATAAGATGGTTGTGAGCCACCATGTGATTGCTGGGAACTGAACTTAGGTCCTCTGGAAGAGCAGCCAGTGCTCCCAACCTCTGAGCCATCTCTCCAGCCCCCTATATACAGTCTTACAAAAGTAGAAAACATTTTAGTAACTCCACTCCAGTTTTAAGGCATTCTAGAATAGGACTTAGGCTATTGAATATGGTGATAATGATTACAACATATATCTTTATTTAAGTAGTTACTCTTTTTGTGAGGTGTGAGTTAGATTATGGTGGGTTAAAATTGGTTCCAGTGGAATGGAAAGATGCTTCAAGCAAATATGTAAGTATGATTTTACTCTTTGTACCTTTGTGATGAAGATAAACTGCTGAGGCAACAGTGGTTCTTCATTTTTGTTGTTTGTTTGTTTGGTTTGGGTTTGTTTTGTTTTTTGTTTTTTGTTTTTTTTTCCTCCCTCAGACAGGGTCTCTATGTAGCCCTGGCTGTTCTGGAACTCGTTCTGTAGACGAGGCTGGCTTCAAACTCAGAGATCCACCTTCTCTGCTTCCTGAGTGCTGGGATTAAAGGCGTGCGCCACCGCTGCAATAGTAGTGTTTTAATCTCAAGTGCCAGCTAGTGCCAGGAGAGTAACTCGAACCTTTCCTTCCTAAACAGAGGTTAAAATTGTTTTTCAGAGACTTTGGCTATGAAAGGATTAACGTTGAACTGTTTAGGAAAAAGAGAAGAAGCGTATGAGTTTGTTCGTAAAGGACTCCGAAGTGATGTCAGGAGTCACGTCTGTATCCTTTTGCCATAGTTTTGCATTATCATTTGTGTTTTCATTTACTTGTCTTTTCTAATTCGAATTTTACAACGTTTCTGTGAAACCTTTAAATCTTAGAAATTTTAATGAAGGTCTATATCTACCCATTACTCAATTGCCCATAATTAGCAACATTTTGTTCCCTAATCCTTTTTTGGAGTATTTTAAAGAAAATTTTCATGGAGAGGGAGAGACAGAGACAGAGAGACAGACAGAGACCAGTTCTTTCCTTAAACATCCATGTATTTTTTGATGCTTCCCTATTCAAATAATTATTTTTAATTATTTAACCTACATAAATATTTACATTTCTTTAATTTCCTTTTAGAAGTTTTAGAGGAAATTTTAAATTGAAAAGAAACCTACTTTAAAAGAACTTTGACTGGATCTGTAGCTAGGTAGCAGAGTGCCTGCCCAATATGTGTAGGGCACCCTGGGTATGGCCCCTGGCACTGGAAAGCTGACGGATGGAAACCAGGTTCTAGTCTGTGTCAGGAAAAACTGGTTCTTTAGTTTGATCTCTGTTAACAGAGACTTAGCTATTGCTTCACTGAGTCTTTAAAATTATATTTTTCATTGGCTAGTGTTTTAATATGTAAACAAATATAAAAAATACTTTTAAAAGATTGTTGATTTCATTTCTTTTCCCATGTTCATGTTCAGTTTTTTCATAGTGCCATTGTGTATCTGACTTTTAATTCATTTAGCAGCTGACTAGTATTCAACAGGCATAGTCTCCCTATTTTCACATAATTAACTTAGGGCTCTCACAAAATACTAAATGCTTATGTTCTTACCCCAGTGCTTACCCCGAAGTGAAGAGAGAGGCTGTGTAAGTTATGGTAGTTTTTAGTTTGGGGCATTTTCCCTGTAAGATAAGCTAAGAGAATAAAACTTAGTTTTGTGTATTTTAATATTACTAGTGAATTAAATGGTGGGTATATTACTTAGAATTGGATAAATATAAACTTATTTTAGAAGAAAACCACAATTTTTATATCAGTGAATTTTGAGTTGTTTGGTTAAAAAAACAAGAGGATAGAGTATAGAGAAATGCTATGAACTTTTGCCAGGAGCTTTTTAAAAGTTACTTACAAATATGGAAAATTTCAAACATGTACAAAATGGAAGAAATGGAATGTTGAACCATTGTGTCCTGATCACTCAGTTTGAACAGTCAAGGGTTGGCTGGTTTCAAGTTGCCTGTTTCCCACTGACTTTTCCCTCTGTCTACAGATCATTCTGAACAAATTACACACACAACACTGTCGATGTTGTTGCATAGGATATTGTAGTGTCTGTGAATGTCTGTATTTCCTTGACTTAATAGGTTGGCATGTATACGGCCTCCTGCAACGTTCGGATAAGAAGTATGATGAAGCCATTAAGTGTTACAGAAATGCCCTCAAATTAGATAAAGATAATTTGCAAATCTTGAGGGATCTCTCTCTATTACAGATTCAGATGAGAGACCTTGAAGGTTATCGAGTAAGTAGTCTTAAATGTACTTTTTAAATACAAAGTCTAATTTTTTTAAGTGATGGGATTAAAGGTGTGTGCCACCACACTTGTAAAGATTAAATGTTTAAAAAAGTATGTGAATTCAGAATGGAGTAAGCCTAAGGCAAGATGGTGTGCATTTGATTCATTATAGTCTGTAGTAGACGAGGAAAGCCTTGGACCTTCCTACGATAGTAGTTACAGAATTTCATGTTTTTGAGCATTAAATAAGGCTAAATTGGGGTGACTCAATGGATAAAGACACTTGCTGCCGAGCCTGATGACCTGAGTTCCATCCCTGGGACCTACATAGTGGAAGGAGAGAGCAGACTTGTGACAGTTGTCTTCTGGCTTCCATATGTGTGCTGTGGTACATGCACACTCACTCATACACATACACAGTTTTAAAGAATTGATTGTCTTGGTATGCAAGTATTATACTGTTACCTTTTTGGTTGGAACATTGTTGCCAAACTGAATATAGATTTGACATTCAGCTTGATTGAAATCTAAATTAGTTAGCTTTTTTTTTAATAGGTTAGCAAGTATAAAATAATGTGGAAAGGATTGCCATGAAAAGATTTTGTGCTTTTTTAAGATTCATTTTTCTTTTTAGTTAAATGTAGGTATTGTGTCTTTGTGTGTGTGTTTGGGCATATGTGTGTTTAGGTTCTGGTGGAGGCTAGAAGAAGGCATTGGATTTCCTGGAGCTAGTGTTACAGCAGTTGTGAGTCCTGGGAACTGAACTTGGGTCTTCTGCAAAAGCAGTGTGTGCCCTTAGCCATTGAGCTACTGCCCCAGCTCACTAAGGAAATCTCCGTACAGTTCAGATGTCCTCAGATTGCACCTGCAGGTCTCTGCTGGGCCTCTGGCTCCACATGCCAGTGCCTTAGTCAGTCTGTTTAGAAGAGAATTCTCTCGGCTTCTTTTTTGTTTTGTCTCACTGTGACACCCTGGCTGTCCTGGAACTCATGGAGACATGGCTAGCCTCAAACTCACAGACAACTGTCTGCTTCTGTCTTCTGAGTACTGGATTCAAAATACTAGAGGGTGTACCACCATGTCTGGCTCCCTCAGTTTCTTATGTGAAGGAACTGTGAACTGTGAGCAGTTCTCTTGAAATCATTTCCTTCTTGTGTCCTCTTCCTGCCATTTACATGCTCACCGCTAAGTCCATGTTTCACCCGATTCACCGGCTTCATCCCATCATTTTCAAAGTGTGTGTTTGTTGTCTCCAGCAGCGCTTGGCTGTGATGGGAATAATTTTCTTGGGACTGGAGAGATGGCTCAGTGGTTAAGAGCATGTGTTGTTTTTGCAAAAGACCCTTGGGTTTGGTTCCCAGCACACACACGGTGGTTTACAGCTGGCTGAAACTGCACATCTGGGGCATCTTGTGCCCTCTTCTGACCTCCACAGGCATACATGTAGTATGCATGTACACACACAGGCAAAGACCTGTAACATTATAAAAATAAAAAACTGAAAAATCAGTTATCTTTAGGAGTGAGGCATAGAAATTATGAACATTGGCAGGACAATGGCTACTGAACTGGATTATGAAATAGAGTAAGTTAAGAGAGAGCAGGTCATGAAAGCAAAGCAGTTGTGGAACCAGAGATACTGGGTGTCTTAGTTAGGTTTACTATTGTTGTGATGAAACACCATGACCAAAGCAACTCGGGGAGGAAAGGGTTTGTTTGGCTTACACTTCCACAGCACTGTTCATCATTGAAGGAAGTCAGGACAGGAACTCAAATAGGGCAGGAACCTGGAGGCAGGAGTTGATGCAGAGGCCATGGAGTGGTACTCCTTACTGGCTTGCTCCTTATGGCTTGCACATCCTGCTTCCTTATAGAACCCAGGACCACCAGGGATGGCACCACCCACAATGGGCTGATCCCTCCCCCATTAATCACTAATTAAGAAAATGGCCTACAGGCTTACAGCCTCATCTTATGGAGGCATTTTCTTAATATCAGTTCCCTCCTCTCAGATGACTTTAGCTTGTGTCAAGTTGACATAAAACTGTTCAGCACACTGGTGAGGTCAAAGAACAAAAGTGGAGATGAAGTGTTACCAGGCCGAAATGTTGGCGGCCGAGGAGCAGTGGCTAGAGGATGAGATACTTGAATTTGATTTCTGGGTTGGTTAAAGGTTTAGAGAAATGTGGGTGTGCAAGTGGGTTCCTGAAATGGGTAGAGATCATTGAAGACAGAAAATTCTGCAGCTAAGATAGGCTATTACATTAGTAACTATTAGTATCTTGTCCATATCAGTATTGAATTTGCCAGAGGAAAAAACATGACTCATGTGTTAGTGGAGTGAGTGACAGAGGAACGAGAGTGAAAGTAAGGTGAAGGGATGGAACTTGGTGGTCTGTGCAAAGGGACCGGACACGTGGAGAGGACCTGAGTAAGGTAAAGGGATGGAACTTGGTGCTCTGTGCAAAGGGACCGGACACGTGGAGAGGACCTGAGTAAGGTAAAGGGATGGAACTTGGTGCTCTGTGCAAAGGGACCAGACACGTGGAGAGGACCTGAGTAAGGTAAAGGGGTGGAACTTGGTGCTCTGTGCAAAGGGACCAGACACGTGGAGAGGACCTGAAAAGGATGCCCTCTCCTGGCACCTCTTGAAACATGGAACAGACTCAACAAGTTAAATAGATATTTTCTACACTTCCTTATAGTTCACAACCTGCATGAGACTGTGTCTGCAAGTAGTGGCACTTGCGAAAACATGTAAAACAATCTAAATAAGCTGATTTCATTTATTTTTAAAAATCTGGTATAATAAAAAAAATCTTAATTCTGTAAGATATTTTATCAGAAGACATTTTTATTGTATATAGATAGTTTTTACAAGGTGCCAAAGACACGAGCCTCATAATCTAGTTCATAGTGACAGCCTCACAGTGAGCAATACAAGACATTAGTGTTACTAATACAGAGACAGTTTAGATGAGAAGTGCAAAATGTATTTTATCGTATTTTGGAACTCATATTTGTTGAATGAATTAATTATAGTGTTATTAAAGATTATTAAAATTCAGTGAAATGTAAACATTTAGATAAAGAATTTTAAGAGAAAAACTTTTTTTTTAACCCCAAAGGAGACAAGATACCAGCTTCTTCAGTTGCGCCCAACACAGCGTGCTTCCTGGATTGGATATGCCATTGCGTACCATTTGCTGAAAGATTATGATATGGCGCTAAAACTACTAGAGGAATTTAGACAGACACAGCAAGTAAGAACTTCAACATTTTCTTCTATTGCAGACTAAAATAGTTGGCTTTTAGCTTTCAGTTTTTCTTAGAAAACTTTGAAAAATATTTTAATAATTAGAAAAAGTTAAAATGCAGGAGTCAGCCGGGCGGTGGTGGCGCACGCCTTTAATCCCAGCACTCGGGAGGCAGAGGCAGGCGGATCTTTGTGAGTTCGAGGCCAGCCTGGTCTACCTAGCGAGTTCCAGGAAAGGCGCAAAGCTACACAGAGAAACCCTGTCTCGAAAAACCAAAAAAAAAAAAAAAATAAAATAAAATAAAATAAAATGCAGGAGTCACAGTGTCAAATAAACTAATATTTAAATCTAATGGATAATAATTTCAACAATATTCAGATGGATAAAGGAAGAAAATATGACTAGTGATGCAGCTCAGGTCGAGTGCTTGTCTCGTATGTTGTGTTTTAGGTGCACAGCCCTGGATCTATCTTCAGAACTAGAAAAAAAGTTAAAATGAAAAGAATTTGGAAGTTGGGAAATCGTTTCTATGATATAACTTTATATAGTTGGGGATATGGAAATAATGTATATATTTTTTGTTTTATATTAATGTATTGTAGTAAATTTATGTAAAAATAAATATATAAATCATGTTAGAGCATTTAAATATGTTAACATTTTCTATAATTGTTAACGGTTTTACTTAAAAAACATGTATATGTATATATGTGTGTATGCACGCACACACACACACACACACACACACACACACACACACACACACACAGCTTAAGTTCTCCCCTGTACCTTTGCCGAGGTAACCACTATTGAAATTGGTGCAGAGAATTCCTTTTCATATTTATGTCACACATAAACCTATAAAAGATACAGACTTGTTCATATATTTAAATTTTTACGTGAAAGGTTTTGTGTGCTTGTTTGTTTTTTTTTTTTTAAGATTTATTTATTTATTATGTATACAGTATTCTGCCTACATTCATGCTTGCAGGCCAGAAGAGGTGCCCTCTTTACAGATGGTTGTGAGCCACTATGATGTGGTTGCTGGGAATTGAACTCAGGACCTCTGGAAGAGCAGCCAGTGCTCTTAACTGCTGAGCCATCTCTCCAGCCCGCTTGTTTGTTTTTAAGGCAGGATCTCCTCATATAGACCAGGCTGGCCTTGAACTCAAGATCCTTTAGGCTTAACTTTCTGGGGGCTTGGGTCATAGGCATGCATCACTGTTCGTAGCCTTGTAGTTTTTATTTTTTATGTGTTGTGAGTGTGTGTGTGTGTGTGTGGTCAGCAGAAAACCCTCAGAAGTCAGTTTTTGCCTTTCCCCTTGCTGTGAGACTGGGTCTGTTTTGTTTCTGCGGTGCTGTGTCTTTTAGACTAGGTGGCTTGCACACTACTGAGCAGTTCTGTCTGCACCACACCTCTCCTTATCTTTGTGCTGGGACTGCAGCTGCATTCAGTGATGCAGTCACTTTTAATGCCGGTTCCCGTGCTCTAAACTGTTGATCAGCTTATATAGCGGGTGCTTTTACCCACTAAGCCGTCTCCCCAGCCCATAAGTTTTTTTTCTTCAACGTTTTTGGAGACTTAGCCATGTTAATTCTTTAGGGCTGATTTGTCCTTTTTGAATTACTGTGTCTTGTTCTGTTGTATGAATAAGCTGTAGTTTGTGTACTCTACTTTGTCTCTATTAAAAACACGGCTTATTATAAACATCCTTGTTTGCTGTTTCATTGGCTGCATTTGTGTTTGTCTTCAGTATAAATCTAAAACTGGAATTAGAAGTGTAACTGGTCTGGGGTTGTAAGTATTGCCAGATCTGGTATTAACCCTTTGTGGAGTAGCTTTACTAATTTAAACAGCACTGGCACTGTTTCATGAATTTTGTGACTTGTGCCAGTTATTCATTGGTTTTTACATCTGGGAATGAAAGGTTTTGCTAACCTCTCTTGCAATTTTTTCTTCTTTATAATAATTATGTATTTATTTCTTTGTGTTTGTGCACATGTGGAGGTAGAGGACAGCGTGGAGGAGTTGGTTCTCTCCTTATACCCTGTGGTTCCTGGAACTAAGCTCAGGCTGTTAACGCCCTCCCTCCCCACTTACCTGTCTCCCTGACCCATTTGTGTCTCCCTGATTATTAATGAGGCTAAGGGATAGTAGATGACTTCTTTCCTGTTGCCGTGATGAGGCACCCGACAAAACTAATTTAGGGGAATTGGGTGTGGTGGTGCACACCTTTACTCCCAGCACTTGGGAGGCAGAGGCAAGCAAATCTCTGTGAGTTTGAGGCCAGCCTAGTCTACAGAGCAAATTCTAGGACAATTAGGGCTGCCACACAGAAAAACCCTGTCTTGAAAAACAAAAGTTGGGGAGAAAGGGGTTAATTTTAGCTCACAATTCCAGGTTACAGTCTTAGAGCTGGGAAGTCAAGCAGCAAGCGCCTGAGCAGCTGGTCACTTCAGTAGTCAAGAGCAGAGAGAGAATGAATGCATGCATTTATGCCTTAGCTTGTCTTTTTCACTCTTCTATAGAGTAGGACCCCAAGTCCAGAGAAGGGGGATCCTCTCACATCAAATGAGGTAATCTCCCACAGACATGGCCACAAGCTGATCTGATAAACAGTCTTCATTGTGACTCTCTTCCCAGGTGGTTCTAGATTATGTCATGATGACAAAAACATCTCAGAGTATGGTGGCATATGTCTTTAATTCCAGCAAGGCAGAGGCCGGCAGATCTCTGTGAGTTCCATACTAACCTGGTCTACATAATGAGACCTTGTCTCAAAACCAAACCAAACCAAACAAAACCACCACCACCAGAAGACATATACTCCCACCACCCCCAAAGCATGAACCCTGGGCAAAATGATATTGGTCTGTAGTTTTCTTTGGATGCTTATGCCTACTTTTGGTATCAGGGTAATACTGGCCCCATGGCATAAGTTTCAGAGTGTTTGCTCCTGTTCTGTTTTGAAAGACTCATGAAGAATTAGAACTAATTCTGTAACTATTTTGTAGAATGCCATCTAGTCCTAGTCTTTGTGGGAAATTTATTGTCAATTTATTCCCTATTGCTATTTAGATTTTTTTTTTTTTGTATCTTCAGTCAGTTTTTATAAAAAGCTTTTGTTTTTGCAGGAATTAGTGCATTTTATCTTCATTTTTTTCCCATTTAATTTTTATGGAATTTTAATCTCTCTCTCTCTCTTTTAATATCTCAGGTCTGTAGTTATGTTTCTTTAATTTCTGATTTTAATAACTGGTCTATTTTTCCCTTTGGTGATTATAGGTTAAGTTAGTGATTGTGTTGATCTGGTCAAAACCAACTTGTAGTTTTGTTGATTTTTTTTCTATGAATGTGTTGGACCATGCCTATCACACTCTACAAGAGGTTTTACAAACACTGCCTTAGGTCTTCCTGGGTTTTTTTGTACAGTCTAAAGGCCAACAAGAGAGTGATCACTTAGGTTCTCCTTAGACCTTGCCACATGATTTAGGAATAGATGTCCAGGAGAGCTTTTTCCTCCCTCCCTCTCCCACATGCCCCTCTCTCTGAGGCTGGCCTTAAACTCTCAATTCTCTTGTCTCTGAGTCTTTGAGTGTTGGGATTAGAGTGTGTGTGTCACCACGTCTGTTTTGTTTTTTGAGACTGTGATTTGCTGTATAACCCTGGCTGACACGCTGCTTTCTGTAGCCCAGCCTGACTTTGAATTCATGGTAGGTTAGTTGTCTTAGGCTTCTGAGTACTGGGGTAACAGACACATTCTTGGCAAGTATTGTCTTCTCTGTTTTTTTGAGACAGACTCTTACGTCGCCCAGGCTAGTCTTAGACTTGCTTTGTGGCTGAGGCTGAGCTTCCTGCTTCCACTTCCCAAGTGCTGGCATCACAGGTGTACTCCACTCAGCCCTGCTTCGCAGTATTTTCGTGAAGAAACTTTGTATAAAACTTTGCTGAACTCCTCCTTTATTGGTTCTGTTTTCCCTTTCAATTTTTTTGGCAGATTCCTTAGGATGTCACCCACTTTCGTATCTGGATATAAGATCTGTTCACCTCTTCTCTTGGCCATATACACCTATTTTACTTTAAAGACAGAATTAATCATGTGTCAACCTATTTTTAACTGCTTCTGGATTAAGTCTGTGCAAATGGGTCCTAAGTAAAAAAATGTAAAGATCTGTAACTAATTTGTATAGTTAACACAAATAAGATGATTTGGTTGTTTTCTTCCAGGTTCCTCCCAACAAAATAGATTATGAATATAGTGAATTGTTACTATATCAGAATCAAGTGATGAGAGAGGCAGATTTATTTCAAGAATCTTTGGGACATATAGAAACATATGAGAAGCAGATATGCGATAAACTTTTGGTGGAAGAAATTAAGGGTAAGTTGATTTTTTTTTTTTAATGGCGCTTTAAATTTTGTCCTGACACTTAAGTAACACCATGTATTTAGTGACTGTCTAAGCACTTGCTACTAAACCATTATTAATTTAATCCCTATGACATCCTTTTGATGACATAGGGTGAACTGGGGAGCTGTTGTCCTCTTGCTAATATATAGCACTTTCTGATTTGGGTTTTCTTTTTATTTTATGTGATGAGTGTTTTGCTTGCATGTATGCTATGTGTACTGTGTGCATGCCTGGTGCCTTCAGAAGCAGAAGGAGGTTTTTGATCCTGTGGAATTGTAGTTATAGTGGTTGTAAGCTGCCATGTGGGTACTGAAAATTGAACCCAGGTCCTCTCCAAGAGTAACCTGTGCTTTTAACCACTGAGCCTCCCTCTCCAGCCTTTAGTTGTTTTTTTGTTTGTGTAAGATTTGTTTTTATTATTTTTAACTGTATGTCTGTCTGTATGTGGGTATGTTTATAGGTGAATGTAGCTGTCAAGAGTGCAAGAGGCTTGGAACCACTGAAGCTGGAGTTATAGGTGGTTGTAAGCTGCTGAGTGTGGGTGCTGGGCACTAAATTTGGGTTTTCTGCAAGAGCAATGCATTTTCTTAAGCACTAATCCAGCTTTCTAGTACCTGACTTAGTATTTTATTGTAGTTAACATTAATATCAGTATTAACGGCAACACTGTTTTTAAAATTATCAATAAAATAATTATTCAGTTTCTTTCTTGTTCCACTGCCTGTAAATAATGAAAGCAAAAGAAAATGGCAATTATTTTTCCTTCTTGGTGTGTTACTGCTATTTTTGTGATTAAATCTCAATACTCTGAGGCAGCTGTTACTCTGGCTTTCTTTGTCTTACAGCATTAACAGAATGCAGTCATTACAAAGTAAGTGGGATGCAGGGACATGGGTTTCATTTAAAAAAAATCTTAGTCAGGAGGTAGTGGTGCACGACTTTAATCCCAGTCCTTGGGAGGCAGAGGCAGGTAGATCTCTTCTGTGAGTTCTAGCGCAGCCTGGTTTACAGAGCTAATTCCAGGACTGCCAGGGCTACACAGAGAAACCTGTTAGAAAACACACACACACACACACACACACACACACACACACACACACACACTTGTAAATAGCTGCATTACCACATTCATTTATGTTGGTAGCAAGAATTTGGGGAGCACTAATCTTGAATAAATAGCCGGTTCTCAATATGGCTCATAGAAGTGGGCTATAGTATTATTTTTCCAGTGAACTTGTAGGCCCATTTGATACTTAGACATTTATGTCATTTGCAATCATTAGCTAAGATCCTTTCAAAAAATTGTAAAAGTTAATAGATTTTCACTTAATTGATATGCTTATACACTTATTTGCTCTATGTGTTCTTACAGTATTTGCTTCATGGTGGCAACAGATAACATGTTTATGGGAATGAAAATATGTTGTTTCCAGTTATATCTAGGAAAGGCAGGGAAGTTACTAGATTGGTTAATATGTAGTTGTGTAGGAGTTAGGGCATGTTTATTGTTTCTCTGTTACCCAGCAGTTATATCTGGGCATTTTGTATCAGGTCTAATTGCTTGCTCAAGTTCACAAAGTTGGTATGTGTGATGTAATTATACCCAGTTTAATTTTGTTTTGGAATTTGGTTATATAAAACAAAAAATATGAATAAATTTATTATATGCCACCTACCCCAGTATGGTGAATGTTAAATAATATTATAAAGATATTCCAAAGCTTTGTTTGAAATTGATTCCTTGGGGAATGGGAAATATTGGCAATAGGAATGTATGGTATATTCATATAAGAAAAGCCTCTCTTCCCTTAGTTTAAGTGTGCTTCCCATTGTGTCTGAGGGCTTCAGTGCCTTACCTCCCAGACTCATTTGCAGTTTTTCTGACTTAGTAAAAAGATTTGAACCTTAAAGGTGACTCACACGTAAATATGGCTTATGTTTATTGCTGTGAAATAATAATTAGTTATATAATTGTACTGAGTTAACTTACACAATTTTAATCTAGAAAAGAAACAGAGAACAGACAGTTAATATAGGAACTGTTAAAGGAAGACATTTAAATCTTACAGTAAGAAGGTTGGCATATTCCATTTGGATGACTTGCTAGTTGGATTTTACTGTGTAGGCTTTAATTATCTCCAGGAGGCTATAAAAATACGTATAATGAAAAGATACTTTTTTTTTTTTTTACTAAGAAGTTAGTATCTATCTGTATATTTAGGGAATTGGATGGAGCCAAAAATGAATATGGTTCATTTCTGAAGACAAACTATAAATTTATGTTTAGTTATATAAATTTTATATAATAAGGCCAAATTAAGACATGTAGAATTGGGGTTTTCATAAAATACTAGTTTACCAGTCATGCTTAGAGAATTATCTTGGGTCAAAAAAAAAAAACCTAATGTGTAAGCAAAATGAATTTGACTTGAAACTTAATTTTAGGGGAAATGCTGTTGAAATTGGGAAGATTGAAAGAAGCCAGTGAAGTATTCAAAAACTTGATTGACCGGAATGCAGAAAACTGGCGTTACTATGAAGGCTTGGAAAAAGCATTGCAACTCCGTATGTAATGGCTTGTCTCTTCTTCCTTAAGGAGCTTTGGAAGTGTGATAAAACGAAAGCTGTAGTAATCCTTGAGAGTAAATCATTTTAGCTTTAACAGTTATTTTTCTATGTAGTAAAGTTACAGATTAAATGTGGGTGTGAAAGTTCACTAAATATACTTAATAATAATACTAATAGATGATTTTAGGTTCCTGCACCCATTTAAAATCTTTTTTTATTTTTTTTGTTTGTATTAGGGTTTGTATTAGTCAGGGTCCTGTAGAGGAACAGAACTGAGAGTATGAATATGTGTGTATGTATAAAGGGATTTATTAGAGTGGCTCACAGGCTGTGGTCCAGCATCCAACAATGGCTGTCTTCCGAAAGAAAGTCCCGGAATCCAGTAGTAGTTGTTCAGTCCACAGGGCTGGATATTCTAGCTGGTCTTCAGCAGACATCGGAATCCTGAAGGAACAGGCTCTAAAGTCAGTGAAGGAATGAAAGTAAGGGTCACTTAAAATCTTAACAGACAAGGCTTTACAGCCAGGCCGTGGTGGCTCACACCTTTAATCCCAGCACTCAGGAGGCAGAGGCAGGTGGATCTCTGTGAGTTCGAGGTCAGCCTGGTCTACAGAGTGAGCTCCAAAGCTACACAGAGAAACCCTGTCTCAAAAAAAAAAATCATATTTATTTATGTCTGAAGTAAATTATAACATTTTTTTTGTTTTCTTAAATACTTTTTAGGAAAATGATTAAAATATTGACTAAATACAGTTTAGTCAACAAGGCAAAAAAAATGCAAAAGTTGCATGTATTCAGGTTGGAAATGTAAAATAACTATGACTTTTGTCTTTAAACTACTAGTTATTAGCTATGTTAGCTACTTGACAAAAACAAGAGGAAGGTTTATTTTGGCTCACCGTAGGCATGGGGTGGGACAGTGAAGTGTAATAGGAAGCAGAGGTGACTTATGCGGGTGCTCAACTTGCTTTCTCCTGTTCCTTTATTCTACCTTTGAATTTCAACCCATAGGATGGGCTACCCATATTCTATATGGATCTTTTCCCTCCGTTTAACCTCTTTGGACACACCCTCAAAGTCAGACCCAGAGGTTCTGATTAGGTGATTCCAAATCCATTCTGGTTGACAGTGAAGGTTGACCTCCACACTGACATAGCAATTAATAATGAAGCCCTTAAGTAGTTTAGTAAAGTAAGTACCATAGTTTACATTTTAAGGTGCTTGATAGTATAAAGTGTTGATTTTAAAACTACTTACACTACCCATCTTTTTAGATTCCTTGATATGTTTTTCCCCCATGATATTCTGGAGCTCCAACTTATGACTTCAAGTAGGGCATTAAAATAGGACCACCTTGACTTAATGCTAATTAAACTACATACATAAGACTTGATGTTTTCTGGAATGCAGCACAAAGTTATCTTTTGTTTTATTTTTTTTAAAATATAGTTTATTATTCTAAAACTAGTAACATGGAAATTTTGTTTTGTTTTGTTTTGGTTTTGGTTTTTCGAGACAGGGTTTCTCTATGTAGTTTTAGAGCCTGTCCTGGAACTCACTCTGTAGACCAGGCTGGCCTCAAACTCACAGAGATTCGCTTGCCTCTTCAAACCCGAGGGATTGAAGGCATGAACCACCACCACCTAGATGAGAACTTAAAAAAAAAAAAAAAAAAAAACAATGCCGGGCGGTGGTGGCGCACGCCTTTAATCCCAACACTCGGTAGCCAGAGATAGGCGGATCTCTGTGAGTTCAAGGCCTGAGTTCAAGGCCAGCCTGGGCTACAGAGTGAGTTCCAGGACAGGCTCCAAAGATACACAGAGAAACCCTGTCTCGAAAAAACAAAAAACAAAACAAAACAAAAATCAGTAGCTTTCATTATATATTTTAGGTAAAGCTCCTTAATATTCTATGAAGTCTCCAAATTGTTAACAATGTGAACAAAAATATTTTTCAGATATCCCCATTTTAAAAATTCAACCACATTGGCACTCCAAAGCACAGTACTAGGAGAATGTATGAGTCTACATAAAAGACCAACATTACCTCTTGAACTACAATCTTTTTTGTTTGGTTTCTCTGTGTAACAGCCCTGGCTATTCTGGATCTTGCTCTGTAGACCAGGGTAGCTGCAAACTTACAGAGATCCTGCCTGTTTTTGCCTCCCGAGTGCTGGGATTAAAGGTGTGTGCCACCACCACATGGTTTACAATCTTTTTATAATTTTGATACAAATAGCCCTTTTGCTGTGGCAATACCTTCTTTACATTAACTAAGGGTTGGTTATTGATTTAGAAACAGTATCTCTGTGTAGCCCTGGCATACTGGAACTCTGTAGACTAAAGCTAACCATGAAATCAAAGATACACATCTGCCTCTGCCTCCTGAGTACTGGGATTAAAGACATGTGCCACCATGTCTGTTGCGATGGGTTATTCTTTTTTTTTTTTTTGTTTTTCGAGACAGCGTTTCTCTGTGTAGCTTTGCTACAATTTAAAAAAGTTTTGTTTACTTTTTCTTTAAAATACTGCTATAAATAATCTGATTGCTTATGCACAGTAGTGTCTTTATAAATTATGCAGGAATTACACGGATTCTCTTCTGGATATAGTATGTTATTCTCATATGGATTTTCTTTATGGTACTGAAAAGTTAAATGATTCTCTGATTGGAGTTACTACTTCTGTTATTTTATTTGGGAAAAATAATTGCCACTTTAAAGAATCTATTTTTTTAGATTGATCTATATTTTATGTATATGGATGTTTGTCTGCATATATTTCTGTGTTGTGTGTGCCTGGTGCTCACAGAGGCCAGAATAGGATGTTAGATCTTCGGGACTAGAATTACAGACAGTTGTAAGCCATCGTGTGGGCTCTGGGGAATTAAACCCAGGTCCTTTGCAAGAGTATCAAGTACCCTTAATAGCTGGGCCATCTTTCCATCCCCTAAGGAATTTCTTCTAATGATTTTTGTGGAATTTCATTGAAAATTTCAAGTGTCAAAGCAATCAAGAAGTATAGTTCCTTTTTAAACTAAAACATTTATAACCACAATCCTAAAACAGTTATTTAAGCATACAGATATTATAGACTTGTAGGGGGAGGCTTTGTTAGTTTATAGTATTTATATAACATATAAGCAGTATGTTACAAAATGATTTTCTTTTTCATGGTTTGAGAACTAAGGGATAGAAGAGAAATGCATCTTTGTCTGACTTGATGTAAGTGATTTGAGTTGGATGTAGAATCTAGTGAAGAAAGGACTGTTGAGTTTCTCCTGGAGATTTGGTTTAAAAGGAGGATTTTAAGATGTAGCACATGCCTTTAATCCTAGCACTTGGAAGGCAGAGGCAGGTGGCTCTCTGTCAGTTCAAGAGCTGAACACACGTTACACACACACACACACACACACACACACACACACACACACACACACACACACACGATGATTTCCTGATTATAGTATTTTTATCACCCCAGTTTTAAATGTAATTTTTGGCAAAATTGAAAGCAGTTTTGACGGTGATAATACGGTTTTTTGTCTTAAAGTTTGTTACTGTTATAGATAAAAGTTATGATGCTATAATTTCATGCATTTTTACTGACACTAGGCTCTTCAGATGAGAGGCTTCAGATTTATGAAGAAATCAGTAAACAGCACCCCAGAGCAGTTTCACCGAGAAGATTGCCCTTGAATTTTGTTCCAGGTAATATTAGGGTATCTTCTGTAATGCTAATGCTTTTGAAATTAATGGGTACCATTCATGTTTTAAATTTCTTTTTGTGTTCTAGATATATATAAAATCTTAGGAGTAAGAGTGGTCATTTATATTGCAAGCCAATTTGTCATCAAGCCCCCTGAAATACCATTGGCCACTACCAATCAAATGGCTATTCCCAGTGTAAAGGGGCTTAGAAATACCAGCTTTCCTAACATGAAACTATGTTGAGGCTGTAAAATGATGTTATGATGTATGAAGTATTGTTGCTAGAATAGAGAAAGAATAGGGAGCACGATACAGTCTGCCAACAGTGCTGAGGGGGCTTTCATTGTGGCTTAATCCAGTGTGTATTTGGACTCCTTGGTTTCTGCTGGTGGGCATTTCTCTAGTCTTCCTGTTGTTTGGCAAATCATTTGGTATCCTCCAATAAACTGACATGTCAAATAATATGAAAACAGATGTGTACATGGAAGAGAGAATTGGACACAAGGGGAAGTTGTCAAATAGCATCAGAGGACAGTTATTTCCTTTATATCTGAATATATCCAAATTCATAAATCTCTGTAAAATTCCTATTCTCTCATCAAAGACATTGTAGGGAACATTGATCACTAATATAATATGATTTCAGTAATTAATTTAAAAAAATAAATATTTTTAGAATATAAAAGAGTCATCAGTTATGAATTTTATTATATAAATAAGAATGTCATGCTTCGGTATATAGATTAATATTGGTTTTAAGTATTGTAAGCTATATGTACAGAAAGATTTTCTTAACATGACTTTAAAAAAGCAGCTATATTTAGAAGATAAAATTTCTTAGAATCAATGATAAATTACAGATGAACCGTTGTGATTTATGTGGTAATATTTTCAAGTCTTCTATCTTTTTAGGGTATATAGTCAAGGTAAGAGTTGTGAGCTCTTTGTGCCCTTCACAGTATTTGAGAAAGCACCATTCCTTTGAAGTCCTCAGTATCAGTCCCTTTTTTTGTTGTTTCCTGTGACAGAGATACCGGAGATGAACAGCTACAAAGGGGGAAAGATCTGTTTTTCTTATAGTTTCATAGATTTAGTTTAGTCCATGTTGCCATTGTTTCTGGATTCATACTGGAGCGAATATTAGTTGCAGAAGTATATAGCTATCAGATGTCAGGAATGAAATAGACAGTATTTATAGAGTAACTGATAGACCCCAGATACTGCTTATTCTACACTTATTTCAGCCATACCATAATGCTCTTGATACTAATAGGTGTAGTCTCAGTTTACATGACGAAACTGGGTTTAGTGGGCAGGTCGTTTGTTCAGGGGCTTACACGAAGTAGAAGCATGCACATTCTTCTAAGCAACAGCTTCTTTCTGTTTATCTTAATATTATTAATTCCTCTGTATACCTGAGGAAGTACTGGGAAGATAGGATCTTTGAAACTACTTTTGGTTTTAAGGGAACTGCTGATCTAGTAAATGTAAACATTACTTTGTGGCTTTCAAAAGATGGGTGTGTATGATTTCATAAGAGATTAGAAATCTGAAATCATTTTTATGATGTTCAGTGATATTTCTTATTCATGTTTTACTTAATGCAGTCTGCTCGACCAGATAACCATTCTGCTTTGTTGGGTTGGTTTGGAATTGCTGGGTTTTATTGTGCAATGTTGTTACTCATAAAGAAACCCAGGAAAACATTTAAATAATATGCTGGTGTATGATGCCTTGTAAAAACGTTTTTAAAATTCACTTGTGTGTGTATGTGTTAGATTGGGGTGGTGGTGGGGTTGTCTGTGCGCATATGCCACAGTGTGTGTGTGGAGGTCAGAGGACAACTTTTTGGAGTTGGTTCTCTCCTTCCGTGTATGTTCCAGGGACTGAACTTGGGTCATCAGGAGTGGCCCATGCATCTTTACCCATTGAGTAATCTTGCTGACCCTCATGTTTCTGTTTTTTTAATGAATGAATAAATCCAAGCCTTACTGTCATTATGTTTCTATATCTTCATTTAAAAGGAGATTTCTTTCAGTATTTGCTCCCTCTCTCCTTTCTTTCCTCTTGTCTTCCTCTTTTGCTGTACCCTCATTTCCTTCTCCTTCTCTTCTTGATGAGTCTCACATATCCTATTCTGGTCTCCAACTGCTTATGTAGCTAAGGATGACTTTAAATACCCGATTCTTCTTGCTCCACCTCCCTAGTCCTGGGATTAGAAGCATTTGCTGCCATACCCTTTTAACTGTGGTGCTAGGGATAGAATTAAGGGCTGTTGTGCATACCAGGGAAGCTCTTACTAATTGAACTGCAACTCTATCCCTTTTTAATGTTTCTGTTTACAAAAAAAGTGACACCAACTGCTTCTGATTGGTGGGTACACTTATGATCACAATACTCAGGATCCTAAGTTAGGAGGATATCAAGGTTGGTTGGAGCCAACCTGAAACATATAGCAAAGGTCTGTCTCAACAACAACAAAAGTGAAAATACTAGAATTTTTTGTTACAGGTAGCAATAATAGGAAAATTACTTGCTTGATGTTGCACGTAGATTATTACTTCATAGCTAAATGCCTCAGCTCAATCTAATGTGTAACCTTTTAATGTCTTATTCTGCGATGTTTTTCTGTTGGTAAATATTTTTAAATTTTTGTTACAATCACTGTTATATCCCTAGTACTTGAAATAATGTTGGGGTATAGTAGAGTACTTGATACATGATTGTGGAATGAACAAATGTTGAAATTGGCCATACTACTTTAGTGTTTAAAAGAAGATAATTTGCCTACTTCTTGAAGGTAGGGCCAGTCATAGTATATGTGGAAATCCCGTCTTCAGGGGTTTGGACCAAGTCTGTGTTAGGGAGAGCTTAGGAAGAATACCTGTTCTTATGATTGTAACCAGGGTGGTTAGTAAATTATGTTATCTAAAACTGCATAATCTTTTCATTTATTTGTCTCTGAAGTGTTCCTTGAAGATACTTTGAATGGAAATTATGGGAAATGTCACCTGCAACATTGCTGTTATGCTGCTTGTTATATGACAAGACAGTACTGACTTGGGGGTGTAAAATCTGGTTGCAGAATAGTTGTTCTGAAGGAGCTCTATCTCTTCAGTTTTAACAGTTGATTCCCTCAACCAAAGTTTGCTTTTGTCTCTAGGTAAAAAATTTAGAGAACTCATGGATAAGTTCCTGAGACCAAACTTCAGCAAAGGGTGTCCACCCCTGTTCACTACTTTGAAATCTTTGTATTGTAATAGAGAAAAGGTAAGTTTGGTTTTTAATCAGTTTTGCTATTAGTACAGGAAAATTTTTATGGACTATGCTATGCTTTAATTATTTTCTCTATTATACCAATGCTTGTCTTTTTATCTAATATGCCAATACTATATACCAAACGCATATGCATATAGTATAAATGTTAACAAAGGAACTACCGTGCTATGAGGTTAATAGCAAGGAAAGGCATTTTAAAAACACTGTGATATGCCAGGTGGTGATGGTGGTGGTGGCACACACCTTTAATCCCAGCAGAGGCAGGCAGATCTCTGAGTTCAAGGCCAACCTGGTCTATAGTGAGAGTTCTAGGATAGCCAGGACTACACAGTGAGACTCTGTCTCAAAAAAAAAAAAAAAACCAAAATATATAAATAGGTAGATAAAAGAGATATACAGTTGGATGTGATGGAACATACTTGTAGTTTGTAATCCCAACAATTGAGAGGCTGAAGCAGGAGAATTGTAATGAGTTTGAAGCCAGCTTGAGGTTCACAGTGAGTTCTAGACTTTTTGTTTGTTTTTTTCTTACATTTTGTTATCATTTTTTAGAGTAGCATGGATAGTTGAATTTGTGTAACAGTAAAATGCTATTAGATGGGGCTGGAGAGGTGGCTCAGAGGTTAAAAGCACTGGCTGTTCTTCCAGAGGTCTTAAGTTCAATTCCCAGCAACTACATGGTGGCTCACAACCATCTATAATGAGATCTGGTGCCCTCTTCTGGCATACAGGATAACATTCAGACAGAACACTGTATGTATAATAAATAAATAAATCTTTAAAGATTCTATTACAGTGTGGTATGATGCCTTCACCTGGAGGTGGGGGGGTGGGAATACCATTAGGTCAGTGGAGTATGAGAGACTAGTTTTAATTAATAGGTTGAGTCCTAGTTGGTATAGTTTTAGGAGTTGGGGAGATAGCTCAGTCAGTATAGACCTTACTGCACAAGCATCTAGGTAAACAGTGGGTGTGTTCTTGTAGTCCAGTGCTGGGGACATGGAGGCCCCTGGGGCTTTCTGGTCACCTAGCCTTGCTTAAGTGACCAGGCCCAGGTTTCAGTGAAAGAGCCTGTCTCAAACAGCAGGGCAGATGACAACATACACATGACAAGGTATCTGCATACCTGTGTAAGTAAGTGTGGTGAAGAATCTACCTCTGTTCTTAAGTCTTGGTTGTCAGTTTGAAAGATAAGTAGAGAATAAGAACTTAGTAGGAAAGCCAGGTGTTGTAGCACACACTTGGCAGTTCTTAGTAGGAAAGCCAGGTGTTGTAGCACACACTTGGCAGTTCTTAGTAGGAAAGCCAGGTGTTGTAGCACACACTTGGCAGTTCTTGCTGCTCGGGAGAGAAGGCAGGGGATCACTTCAGCTCAGGACCTGAGACTTAACTAGTGCATCATAGTGAATCCTCTCCAGATGAAAAAGGGGGGAGGGTTAATTGAAATGAAGTTATGCTTTTATTCCCAAGTATTGTTTCTTACTTACTAAGGTCTAAAATATTATGGTCAGTCATTTGTGGTTTTTCGAGAAAGGGTTTCTCTGTAGCTTTGTGCCTTTTCCTACATGGTCAGTCATTTTTATAGTCAGTTTTTGAAAGACACTGTTGGGTATTAAGATTTTCATCAAACACCTATCAATTTATTTATGTTTGACCCTTATTTTAAAACGTAATGCTCGTGAATAATAAAATGTTGGAAATAAGATCAGTGGTTAGAACATCTTATTGGTTCAGGAAGCCATGAGGGACCCACACAAATCATGTTCACACCATAGCAGTTGGTGAGTTCCTGACAGTCACCTCCTCTTCCACTCGTGAGTATGTTCTGGTTTTGTGAACCACAGCTTATTGGAAATTCTGACTGTCACTTACTTGCTTGAGCTTGAATCACAAAGATCATAGGTCAAAGGCCATGCTTTAGGAAGTTATCTCTGCAACAGACACAGTATTTCCCAGGCTGAATTTTAACGAAGCTTTAATAGAGCTTTTAATAATTAAAATATAATATAACCCCTTTAGTCCTGATCTAATATAACTACTTGGAAAAAAAATATTTAAAACAAGAGAAGATAGTTGAACTTGGAAGATTTAAAGATTGTGAAAATTTTAAGACATTGTGTTAGTGTCCATCACTGTGAGAAAATATCAGCAAAAAATAACTTCAGCTCAGGAAAGGCTTATTTTGGTTCACAGTTTGGGGGCTTGGTTTGTCATTTCTTGGCTCTTGTTTTGGTCCTGTGGCAGGGATGAACATCTTGGTGAGGGGAATGTGTAGAGGAACAGACTTGATCACATCGTGCAGGCAGAAATTGAAAAGGAAAAGAAAGGACTGGAACATCAATATACTCTGAAAGACATGCCTTGCCATGACCTAACTTTGCTCCCACATAAGGTCCCTCCTAAAATTACTGCTGTCTCCCATTAGTGGCATCAGTTAGGAATTAAACTAGAGGATCTGAGTTTGAATCTTAGTACCTACTTAAAAAGCCAGGCATGGCTGTACTTACCAAAATCCTCTCAGTCCCACAGTCTAGCTCAATTGGTAAGCTTCTGGTTCACAGGGAGAGACCCTGTCTCAGGGTAATAAGACAGAGTTATAGAGAAAAATGGCAGATGTCTTGTCCCAGGCCTGTACATGTGCACCAGCACACTCAGGTACATATACCACACGAATACAATACACACCTCACACACACAATTAGCTCTCAATATATAACAGAAATGAACGATGGACATTACATTACTGATTTTCCATATTAGATATTACCTACTTGATAACAGAAATAGTAAGAAATGAAATGGGTTCCTATAACTGAATAAAACTGTTAAATTAAAAAAAATTGTGTGTATAAAGTGTGAGTACAGGTGTGCACATCCAGGACACCCTTGTGATGGTCAAAGGACAACTTTGGGGAGTTGGATCTCTTTTCACCATGAGTTCTAGGGATTGAACTCAGGTCATTAAGCTTGTGAGGCAAGTTCTATCCCACTGAGCTATCTTGAGTAACTTTAGTGGATGTTTTGTTGTACTTATTTTTTATTTATTTATTTTGTTTTGATGAATTCTCAGTATGTAGTCCTGGCTGTCCTGGAACTTACTATGTAGATCAAATTGACCTTGAATTTACAGAGATCCTTCTTCCTCTGCTTCCTGAGTGCCGAGATTAAAGGCCTGCTCCACCACACACAGCTAGTTTGTTGTGCTTTTGATTATTTAAACTTGGTGCAGAAAGTATGCTTACTCCAGAACTGTAAAACTTATTTAAAACCTGTGTCTTGAGGGCTGGCAAGATGGCTCAGTAGGTAATGGTGATTGCTACCAAGCCTGAGTTAGATTTCTGGGATTCACATGATAGAAGAAATGGAGACTTTTGCAGGCTTCCCTGTTTCTCTGTGTGTGCTGTGATGTTCCTGGCTGGGGAAGGGTGTACGTGTGTGTGTGTGTGTGTGTGTGTGTGTGTGTGTGTGTGTGTGTGTGTGTGTGTACACAAAATAAATATGAAAAAAAAAACTGTTGGCTAAAGTGTTTGCACACCGTCAGTAGATGGCAGTGTAGGTTAATGAAAACAAAAATAATTACCACATACTTAAAACAATTTGAATACTAAATTTCTAAGCCTGAAAGAAGTTTTCAGTTGCAAATATTCTAAGAAAGATTGATAGGATGGTTATGCTACATTAAAAGATGTCTGCTATCTTTAATTTTGTTTTATCCATGTTCTTAGACTCTTGTATATGTGTTAACTAGAGGGCTCATAAGCAGAGATGGTAGAGAACCAGTTTCTGATTCTGTCTGGATTGTCTAAAACTGGGGGTCTTGGATCCCACCTTCAGAACTGTACCTTTGAAAAACAATTACATTAATCTTCAGATCATGAGTTTGTTTGCTTACTTGCTTGTCTGTCTGTCTATCTATCTATCTATCTATCTATCTATCTATCTATCTATCTATTTATCTATCTATCATCTCTCATCTATCTAATTTATCTGAGATAGGGTCTCCCTAAATAGCCCTGGCTAGTCTAGAACTCACTATATTAACAAGGCTGACCTGAAACATAGAATTCTACCTGCTTCTGCTTTTTCAGTGCTGAGATTAAAGGCATGTGCTGCTTCATCCAGCCTCATGAGTTTACTTAATCTTCAATGTTTTTTCTGATAAATTAATGGTGAAAATTGAGGACTGGCCTTTATTTATTTTGTTGATAGAAAATACACATAATTATGGAGTGCAGTGTGCCTATTCTGTACATGTATTCAGTATCTAGTGGCCAGATAGGGTAACTAACATCTCTGGCTTCCTAAATAAATCATCTGTGTTAGCAAATTTGGAACTCCTATCTTGTAATTTTAGAAAAATATAAATTGTTAGGAACTTTTATTACCCCATTTTGCCGTAGAGCAGAGCCTCTTAAACTTTTCCACTTGTGATGTTTTTTACCTGAGAAGTTTATTTTTGTTTTTTTTTCCTTTGAGACAGGTTTTCTCTGTGTAGTTTTGGTGCCTGTCCTGGATCTTGCTCTGTAGACCAGGCTGGCCTTGAACTCACCTGAGAAGTTTTTATTAACCCCTTGGTCTATAAGTATATGAAATAAGTATGTAGATCAAACATTTACTGATAATAAACCATGATGAAATTTATTTTAAAACACTTCTTTGGTCCACTTATATATATCACTTATTAAAGATAAGGGTGTATTTGCATACTAATGGTGGATGTGCTTATCCGTTTTTATCCAAAAGTTTAAATTAAATCTTGGCTACACATTTGGTTCTGCAGGACATAGAGCACATTTAGTTCCTTTAAACTAAACTTGATTTTTATGCTTGTGATATGTGTGAGTCTGGTTGGAGGATAACTTCAGTGTTTGTCCTTGCCAGAATTCTACCTTGTTTGAGTGTCTTGTCTTTGCTATTGACTGCATATACCATGCTAGCTGACCAATGAGATTCTGGGGTGCTTCTGTCTGTCTCCCATCTCCTTATAGGACCACTGAGATTACAGGCACATGCAACTCTGCCCAGCTTTTATGTGAGTTCTAGAGGTCAAAACTTGGGTTCTTGGCCTGAAGAGATGACTTAGAGGTTAAAAGCACTGGTTGGTCTTTGAGAGGTCCTGAGTTCAATTCCCAGCAACCAGATGGTGGCTCACAACCATGGATAATGAGATCTGATGCCCTCTTCTGGAGTGTGGGCATACACGAAGGCAGAATACTGTATGCATAATAAAATAAATCTTTAAAAAACAAAACAAAACAAAACTTGGGTTCTCATGCTTGAGTGGCAAGGGATTTACCCACTGAGCGATCAGTGGTAGAGCTAAATCCCCAACCCAACACAAGGGATTTTTGTTTTGTTTTGTTTTGTTTTTTTGTTTTTTCAAGACAGGGTTTCTCTGTGTAGCTTTGGTGCCTGTCCTGAGTCTCACTCTGTAGACCAGGCTGACCTCGAACTCATAGAGATCCGCCCGGCTCTGCCTCCCAAGTGCTGGGATTAAAGGTGTATGCCACCACCGTCCAGCTGATACTTTGGTTTTATATTTGCCAGTGCTTAGAATATTGCTTCATATAAATATATGGGGCAAAACGACAGAAGCATATTTATGACTTTTCAGAAATTGTTAGAAATTTTTCTATCCTAATCCCAAGCCAGAATACATTGAATTAAATCCCCCCCCCCCCAGCTGAGAACCAAACCCAAGGCCTTGTGTTTGCTAGGCAAGTGCTCTACCACTGAGCTAAATCCCCAACCCCTGAATTATTTCTTAAAGATTATTTATTTACTGATTTTTTTTTTCTGCTTTCAAGACAGGGTCCCTCTATGTAGCCCTGGTTGTCCTGGAACTTACTTTGTAGACTAGGCTGGCCTCGAACTCACAGAAATCTGCCTACCTCTGCTTCCTAGGTGCTGGGATTAAAGGTGTATGCCACCACCGCCTGGATAAGATTATTTATTTTTATGTATGTGGATATTTTGCCTGAATGTATTACCTGTGAACCATGAGCTGCTGACACTGATGCTAGGAACTCAGCTCAGGTCCTCTGGAAGAGCAGTCAGTGCTCTTAACTCCTGAGCCATCTCTCCCGCCTCCACTGAATGATTATTTTAACGAAACCCATGTCAGTAACTTACACAGAAGTTTTTAAAATTCTAATAGAATCCAAAGACATAGTAATTTGATACTTAGAGTCTGAAGAATGATGGTAGGAAAAATATTAAATGGCTTTTTGCAACTAAACCATAGTGCTGCTTAAGAGCAGAAAACTGTGTGCGTAGGAATACTATAATTCATTGTGTGCTTGTCTTGAATCTAAGCCACGGTGTGTTAGGTAGCATTTGTTACCGTGAGTAGTGTAGTGACAAGTGCAGTACAAAGTGTGCTTGTTACATGCCACCAGAGACACGTGGTAGTCACTGTGTGTCTTATTTTGAACTATTTCTTGGTCACTGCACATTCAGCAACCTTTCTATATTACCAAACATTTGGAGTCTTCCGTATTTGTGACCCCTGAGCCTGCAGCACACAGCTTAAGAAGCACTAGAGCAGTAGACTACACCCTTCTTGTCTGTTTTGGTAACTGCTACTACACTTTCCTGTTAGTTTATGTACCTGTTACATCAACCTTCTATCCTCCTCACCCTTCTGGGCCTCCAGTGACAATAATTATAGGCTCATGAAGTCAGCTTTTTAGATTGCACATCAGAGAAACCCATCTTTTGTTTTCTAAAACATGGACTCACTATGTAGCCCATGCTGGTCTCAAACTTACCACCCTCCTGAGTGCCTACATGAGGTTTGTACACCCCATCCTAGCATCAAAGTCTCTTTTTAAAATAGCCGTTCAGTAGGACGTGTGCCACTTGCTTGTAATCCCAGCAGTTGGAAGGTTGGCTTGACTTTGAGGCCAGCATGACCAGCTCCAGGCCAGCCAGCCCTCTGTACCTAGACTCTGTTTTAAAAACAAACCAATCAGAGTTATTTAAACTACTGTTTTAAACTAAATTAAACATTGTTTGTCTTTAGAGAAACATTTTAGCCACTTTCTACTAATAGCACGTCTTCATTGAGTATGTTTGACTGTTTTTTGTTTGTTTTTATTTCATTTTATTTTATGTATGTGTCTGGGTGTTTTACTTGCATGCATGTATTTGTACTATATGTGTGCAGTACTCTCAGAGGCCAAAAAAAGGGAACCAGATTCCCTGGAATTAGAGTCACAGACCGTTGTGAACCACCAGGTGGGTGCTGGGAATTGAACTGCTGAAAGAGTAGCCAGTGCTCTTAACCACTGAGCCATCTTTCCAACCCTAACTATGTTTTAGTGACGTCATTGTGTGTCAGTCTTGTTCACATCCCCCTTTTTTGTTACACATTTTCTACTCTTAGATAGTTCCTCCTAGCCTCCCCATTGCCCTTCCCCATCTCTTCTGTTAAAGATGTATTGTTTTCAGTTGTGTATCTGGGCATGGGTATGTGCATGTGAGTGCAGATGCCCTGGCTGCCAGAAGCATCAGATCCCTTGGTGCTAGAGTTAAAGACAGTTGTGGCATGGGTGCTGGGAACCAAACTTGGGTCCTCAGGAAGAGTAGCAAGTGCTCTTAATCACTGCGCCATCTGTCTAGCCCCTGCCTGTCATTGTTTAAGTCGCTAATGAATCGTGCTGTGGTATGCAGCAACATACCAAAAGTGTGTAAATTGTGTAAGCCTGAGAAGTGTTCTACTTTGGTACTGGGCAGCATATGGTTCATGACTTCATGGATGCTAACTCTGACATTGTATGGTACAGATTAATTTAGATTCAGAATGAAGACAATTAAATTATACTGTCTTTTTTCTATTAAGTGGAATGCATGTAGAGGTTTCTTTCACAGCCATGTCTACCAAATTCTGCACTGGCAGGAAATGTGTAAATAGTACATTTTGATTAGTTCATAAAAGAGGATTGGGGAAAGAAATTAATTGTTCTGAAAATCAGAATCTTTTAAAAGTTCCAGTTTTCATAAAATAGTAACAGTAAACGATGTTTAAGAACTTGTTTTTGGCAGTATTTAGATGAAGGAATTAGGAAGGAAGACCTCCAATTGTATTAAGCACAGATTCTCCTTTCTGTCCTTTACCAGGGTTGTTGACAGTAGTAAGCAAGATATAGTCATTGAACATTTTTGTTTGTGTATGTAGTGTTTGTACGTGTTCCTGTGGGTTTGTACACCTATGCATGCAGGGGTATATGCATGTGTGTATGTGAGTAGGTGGAGGTCAGAGGTTAATATCAGGTGTTTTCCTCAGTTATTCTCCGTTTTATGTTTTGAGATAAGGACTCTAGCTGAACCTGGAGCTACTTGATCTGGCTAGGCTGCTAGCCAGTGTGTGAGTTCAGGGATCCTCCTGTCTCCACCCCATCAGCCCATGGTTACAGATACAAGCTGTGCTGCTAGTGCCAGCTTTCATGTGAGTGCTGGGTTTGAACTCGGGTCTTCGTGTTTGTGTGACAGGCACTTGACTGACTGAACTGTCATTTTTAATATGTATCTTTAAAACTTTGAGTCATTTCACTTAACTTTTTTGTAAGGAGTGATATTTTTAAAAATCGAAATATTTATATTGTAGTTTATAGTTTTACAGAACAAAACAGGGAAGCAAAAGAAAATTTAACTGTTGATGAATTATATAAATATGGTAATTTGTGCTTCAGAATTGTCAGGATTCTGGGATTGGGGATCTATCTCCCTTGTAGTGTGTTTGAAGACCCTGGGCTCACTATGAAGGTCCAAGGTGGGTTTGAGCCTCATCTTTGGTGCTGGGGGAGGAGAATACCAAAACAGACTGAAAATCAGAGTCTTCTGGAGAGGGAAGTCATTGAGTCCTGAAACCATTAATAACTACAGCAGTACATTTGTTTTTCCTCAGTCCTCTAAAATGCTCAGTGGGAGTGGGAGAAGTAGCATTTTGATACCTACAGTTTAGCTAGTCTGTGATTTTGAAATGTATTGTTGTAGGGCTAGAGAGATGGTTTAGTGGTTGAGAGCACTTGCTGTTCTTCCTAAGGATCTGAGTTTGGTTCCCCGCATACATGTCAGAGAGCTAAAAAACCACATCTCATTCCAGTTTCGGGCATTGGGCACCCTCTTTTGGCCTTCACAAGCACCTGCACACAGATTGCATAAAGACAGACTGACACATACATCAATAAAAATAAAAAATAAATTGTTGTTCCAATCAAATTAGTCCACAAATAAAAATACCTTCAGTGAAGCATTTTTAAATTAAAAAATATGTTTCTTTAACAGGTTTCAATAATCCAGGAACTTGTTACTAATTATGAAGCTTCTCTTAAAATGAATGGCTTTTTTAGCCCTTATGGTAAGTTTAAACTAGACTAAATTGGAATTTTATTGCTAATTTAAATCTAATTTTAATCACAGAAACTAGTTTACATTTATTATGTGTGTGCTACATAAATGGCTGCTTATTGGTTTTTGAATTAGTGAATGAAATGAGAGTATTTTCAGTATTATTTAATTTAAAATTTCTATAATCTTTTTGACTTAAGAGTTAGCTTTATTTAATAAGGAAAACAGATTTAAAAAGTTGAATGGCTTGCCCAAGATTGAGTATTTAAATTAGAACCTTTTTTCGTGATTCCCTAAATTTTCTATTTTTTCCTTCTTGAATGAATTTTTAATTATGTCTGCTTGGCCCTTTAATTCTCTGTAGGGACATGTGTAAAGGAAGACAATTTAGAAAATCCTGTAGGATGTTTCCGGTATGGAGACAATCTCTCTAGGTTCTTCATGTGTCTTTCCTGTGTCACTGCTCTTGGAGGTTGGAGGTTTTTGTTTTTTATGTTTTGGGGAAAATTATGTGTATGAACGTTTGCCTGCATGTGTGTCCATGCACTACTTGCATGTGTGGTTCCCCATGGACCAGAAGAGGGCATTAGACTCCTGGGAACTGGAGTTACAGACAGTTGTTAGCTGCCATGTGATGTTAGGACTTGAACCCAGGTCCTCTGGAAGAGCAGCAAGTGCTCTAAACTTCTGAGCTCTCTCTCCAGACTCCAGTCCACCCTCTTAGAGTATTTTAAAGCAAATTCCAAATATTTTACGTGTAAAAACCTTAGTATGCATCTTTAAGATGCACAAAGTCAACTTTATATCTAATACCTGTCCATATTTCCTAACCACTGTCCAAAATATTTGTTTAATTGGTTTATTTTAATCTAAATCTAGTTAAGGCCCATGCTTTACATTTGAAGGGTTTTGTGGTCTTTTAATATACAGTGATCTCTCTTCCTTTAAGAAACGCCTTTTGTTGAAAGCTCACTTGTTTGGTGGACTTTCCCTACTTTAGACCTGACTGACTGCATTCTCTTGGGATCACGTGTGTTTGTCACCATCATTCCTATTTCACGTGACATTGGTAGTGAGATGAATAGATTTGAGAGTTGTTTGAATACCTCCCAGGTGGTGCTTTGTGCTTGAGGTGCTCTGGTTATCTCGCTGATGCTGTCATTGACCAGGGTTTCTTAGCAGGCTGATGTGCCTGTTAAAAAGTTCCTCCTGTAGTATTTCCTAGATTCCTTATTTCATTCTTGCTCCCCATCTATTAGCTGGGCAGAGTAGGTTATAGGTTGAACCCAGGGCCTCATGCGTGCTAGACAAGTGTTATGCCACTGACTTATAACTCTAGTTCTGAAATTATTTTAAAGAACCTTCCCTCATATGCTTTGGCCTCCTGAATTAGATAGCGTATATAAAAGATAAATGTTTGATTCTTTGCCCTTACTTGGATTATCCTAGTTACTTTTCTATTGCCATGACAAAAACACTCTGACCAAGGAACACATAAAACATAACAAAAATCAGCAAACATTTAATATGGGTTCATGTTCCAGAGGGTTAGAATCCATGATCCTCATGACAGAGGGCATGGCAGCAGGCAGACAGGCATGGTACTGGAGCAGTAGCTGAAAGTTTATGCCTAGGTCCACAAGCCCTAAGCAGAGAGAGCTAACTGGGAATAGCATGGGCTCTGAAGCCTTAAAGCCAGATTCCAGTGGCATATCGCCTCTAACAAGGCCACACCTAATTCTTTCCCAGTAGTTTCATCAACTGGGAACCAAGCATTTAAATATATGAGTCTGTAAGGGGCCATTCTTATTCAGACCACCCCAGCTTTCTAATTTATGCTTTAGTGTGTTTACATTATTGTCTTGTTTATTTAGTTGGCTACATATACTAGGAGATCTTCTGTTGATGTAATACAGGTAATTCACTCTGCCTCACTGTAGACATGTCTGACATTCTGTAGTCCATTTTGATAGCTTCTTTAGTACAGGATTGGAAGCAGAATAGAATTCAGATAATGTGTGTATATGGCTGCTTTTGTTAGCTTACTTTGGGCTGTGTACCCTAATCTTAGATTTGTGGTATATCAGGGATATTGTTGTCTCATCAAGGTATAATCTTTGAGTCGTATTCTTCTTTGCTTTGATGATGCTCTGTCTGTATTAAAGTGTATAATATGCTAATTGAGACAGTTACACACTCCTGCAGTAACCCTTGTGAACTTGGAACTCAATTTCTCTGCTTCTGTTGTCATATTTGATAGAAGCATATATTTTGCACCTGTGGGCAATGCATAATGTGGCAGTTTTTGCTTCTGCTGAAGTTTTGCAGTGTTAGGTAATCTCTTCTCCAAGTTACTGTCTTTGATTATTTTTCTGGTTCACTGCACATTGCTTTCATCTTGAGAACTCATAGAGGGAGACAAATTGTTCTTCTCTAGCACTGTCTATTGGGAGGTAGTTTGGGATTAGAAGCCTGTTGAACTAAGATTTTATTTCTCGGCATGACTGTTAGCATTTGAACTTGATGCAATAGAGTCATGCCTTTTTCTGTTAGATTGGTCATTTTTGCTGAGTTTTTGCTCTTAATAATAATCGTTGATTTCATTCTGACTTAAGGAGATAAAGCGTGTAGGGTTGCTTTACTTAGCATTCTTCTTATAACAATGTAGTATTTGTTTGATTGCAGAGAATGGGGAAAAGGAACCTCCAACAACTCTACTCTGGGTCCAGTATTTCCTGGCACAGCACTTTGATAAACTCGGACAGTATTTGCTGGCTTTGGAGTATATTAATGCTGTGATTGCTAGTACTCCAACTCTAATAGAATTATTCTACATAAAAGCAAAAATATACAAGGTAAAATCTTAATCTTGATTTTTGAGTGGTTTGAATTGAATCATTTTTTAAAAGGCTTGAAGTAGAGTAACGCCTAAGATTCTCTGATAATTTTTTCTATATTCTAATAATCCTAAGAAATTCTTTATTGTGTAACAATGTTAGTTATTTGGTTCAGTTCTCAGTAAGTGGAATCATAGTTGTCTAGTTTTCTAGGTAAACTGACAAGATCATGTCAAATTTCTAACCTGTTTTTATTTATATTTCTTTCCCATTTCTATGGCACTCATTTTCTCTTGCTCATAAACGGATTTCCCTAATAACTCTTCTCCTACAGCATATAGGTAATCTCAAAGAAGCTGCAAAGTGGATGGATGAAGCACAGTCTTTGGACACAGCTGATAGATTCATCAATTCCAAATGTGCAAAATACATGCTTCGAGCAAATATGATAAAAGAAGCAGAGGAAATGTGCTCCAAGTTCACAAGGGTAGGCAATAGCATGTATAAGTATGTAATTGTCTGAATTTAGTAAAATTGAAGTTCTATGATGGTTTTTAAGTTTGCCATTGAAATTCGTAAGAATTCCTTTTTTAAAAAAAATCCCATTTAGTCCCTGTTCCAAATATGGTTTCTTACTGTGGTGGTGCACGTACGTGGGGGTGTGCGTGCCTGCCATGTGAATGCAAGCACCCAGGTGGTCCAGAAGAGGGTGTTAGAGCTCCTGGAGCTAGAGTTAAAGGTGGGTGTGAGCTGATCAGCGTGTTTGCTGGCCTCTGAACTCTGATCCTTTGGAAGAGCTAGCTACAAGTGCTTTTATCCAAACTTCAGTTTGTGCTGAGTGTGGTAATGTACACCTCTAATCTCAGCATGGAGGAGGCAGAAGCAAGCCGATCTCTGTGAGTTCAAGGCCAGACTGGTCTACATAGCGAGATCCAGCTAGTCAAGGTTGCAGAATGAGACCTTGTCTTAAAATAAACAAACTTAAAAAATTTACTTTGGATCCCAAATTTGTTCCCTTTATAATTTATGATTTCTCTTTAATTCTCTATTAAATCCTCTTACTTCAGAATTGCTCAGAGTTCTTTCTGTGTATTTTCTCTGACATTTCAGAATTTAAGTTATCTAAAATTGTTTGGCTAAATACTTGTCCTATATTTTCTTCCTTTTTCATCTTTTCTGTAATAGTGTCCTAATAGACATGATACTTAGTTTTGATTAAAATTACAGGTTCATAGAACAGAACAGAAGGCCTACAAATTGATTCAAATATATTTGGAAACTTGGTATATGACCAGAATTACTTTTAAAATTAAAGATAAAATTGCTGAGGCAGGCACTTACGTTACAAAATTCAATAGCATCCCTACCTTACATTGCACACACACCAGTTCAGAGGACCAAAGAACTAAATATAGACAGCAAATCAGATATTTGAAGGAATGCAGCAGAAGTCTATAGGTTCCAGAAATGCTTCATGCTTGGAGGAGAGCATTTCTTCAATTCTAAAGGAGCAAAGAGGTATATTTAAAAAGTTGTGTGTGTGTGTAAGTGTAATTTTTAGGTGGTTTTGTTTTGTTTATTTTTTCTTGAGGTAGAGTTTCTCTGTGCAGCCCTGGCTGTCCTGGAACTCGCTCTGTAAACCAGACTGGCCTTGAACTCACAGAGATCTACCTGCCTCTGCCTCCCAAGTATTGGGATTAAAGGTGTGCACTACCACCGCCTGGCCTTTTTATGTTTTCTACCTCTTGATATTTCTGTGTTATTGATACACTGTTTTCCTAACTTTCTCTACATCTATCTTTAGTACTTTGAACATCTTTTTTTGTTTGTTTTAATTATTTATTTTTATTTCATGTGCATTAGTGTTTTGCTTGCATGTATATCTGTGTGAGGGTTTTAGAATCACTGGAACTGGAGTTACAGACAGTTGTGAGCTGCCATGTGGGTGCTGGGAATTGAACCCAGGTCCTCTGGAAGAACAGCCAGTGCTCTTAACCGCTGAGCCATCTCTCCAGCCCCCTTTTTTGATTATATATTTAGTTCTTTAAGACAGTAGCCAAGGCTGGCCCTAAACTTATTTTGTAGGGAGAATGCTCCTGAACTTCCGATCCTCCTGTCTACTTTCTGAGTGTCAGAACTACAGGTTTTTCCCACCATGCCCGGTTTTCTGTGGTACTGTGATGGAACCCAGGGCTTCATTCATAGTAGGCAAACACTGCCAATGAGCTACAGCATACTCAGCTCTATTAATTAAAACAGTGTGAACTGGGGGATCTGTTTTATTGCTTGCTGCCTTATATTTATGCAAGCTTCCATTTCAGGAAGGAACATCTGCTGTGGAAAATCTAAATGAAATGCAGTGTATGTGGTTTGAGACAGAATGCATTTTGGCCTATCAGCGCCTTGGGAGATACGGGGATGCCTTGAAAAAATGCCATGAAGTGGAAAGGGTGAGTGTTAGGATGTGGATTCTAGTTTCTTCTGTAAGTGACAAGAAAAGCAGGTACATATCTACACTGAATCATCTGCCTCTTCTAACTTTGACAGCTTCATTTGAAAACAATTCTTTGTATTTAGTATTGTGAGCAATGTGCAGTGATACTTGACATGTTTGTATTTTTTCTGAAGAGAAAAGGAAAACAATGTAGTAAAAACAGTGTGTGCTATAATTGACATACATTCACAATTTCTCTCCCTTCATCTGGCCATTATTTAATTTTCATTAGCAGCCTAGGAGGACACACAGCTGGTGGCAACATTTTCCCCCTTTAACATCAGGATCTGGTCCACAGTCAGCCTCTCTCCAGTTCGTCTTCCCAGGATGTTTGTTCTCACATTGATACCCTGTGCATCAGCTGGCCAACTTGCAGGCTTATTTTATTACTTGCATTTAGAATTATGTGTGTGATATGCCTTAGTGAGGGCACTTTTCTTTTCCTTTGTGTGAATTTTTGTTTTCCTGTTCTTTGTCATCTCTGAAGCACTCTTCTTCTACATGGACCACAGGAGGAAAGGAGCCGCAAATGCACCCCTGAGGCAGTCCTCAGCAGCCCTCAGTTGTGGGGGCACTCGGCACCACTCTTCCCCTGCTGACGCAGTATAAAACCACAGGCGTCGTAGTCAGGTGAGCCTGATGTCTGCACCATGGCAGTCACTTTGGCCTTCTTCCCATGCGAAACTTGTGAGGTTACCTGGAGGAGAGCTCTGTCTTAGGGGGTGGCTTTTGATGGGACCTGGAACTAGGATTATACCAGAACCTCGATAGAAATCACCAAAGTTTGCTTTGTTTGGTTTTTGTTTCTTCAGTCCTTTGAACTTGTATTTCTAGGGGAAAGACTTCGCATTTTCTCTTTGAGAATTCTAACCCTCTTGGATTATATGTTAAATATCCAAACATTGTAGTTTAAATGAGGCCTCTATTTCTGTGGTGAAATTATAGAACAGAGTTGGGACTGGAGGTACAGGCCTGAAATCCCAGAACTCAGGAGGATCACAAGTTTGAGGCTAGCCTGAATTGCAAGTGATATTGAAGGTCAACCTAGGTGACATAGTGAGACCCTGTCACAACAAAAAAGGGACAGGAGATAGGTTGGTGAATAAATGTGCTTTTGTACGAGCCTAGTGACTTAGCTTCAGATCCCTGGAATCCAAAACAGCCTGGACATGGTGGTGTGTGTCTGTAATCCCGGGACTCCTCTGGTGAGTTGGGAGGTGGAGATGAGGCAGAGGCAGGAAAATCCCCTGGAACTTGGGGGCTAGTTAGATTGGAGTACACATACTGCAAGGGAGACCCTTGTAAAACAAGGTGATAGGCTGGAGAGATGGCTCAGCAGTTAAGAGCACTTGCTCCTGCAGAGGATGGGAGGTTTGATTCCTAGCACCCACATGGTGCTTTATAACCACCCTTAACTCCAATTCCAGGATATATGATAGCATCTTCTGATCTTCATGGACATATGCACATGGTGTACAAACATACATGCAGGCAAAACACTTCTACATATTAAATAAATAAATGAAGAAGAACCAGCAAAACAAAATGAAGTGAAAGGCGAGAACTAATAGCCAAGTTTGCCCTCTGATCTCCACATATTTGTCATAGTACACACATGCCATCCCATACACATGTGAACACAACCGTACACAGAAAGAAAGAACAAAAGGTAGCAGCAGAAAGTACTGAATGTCAGTAGCTTATGTTGGTGCTCACTAGTGTCTACCACTTGAAGGCCTCCTGCTGGTTAAGGAAAGACATTCCATGTATCCTGTTGTCATGAGAGGTAAACTCTTTAAAGCATTTGCAAATTAGTACTTTCAGCAAGGATGTGGGTAGAAACCTACTCATTTTCTTGTTGAAGTTTAATTCGAATGTTCTTAGGATTGTTATGGTTGGAACTTCTCAAACTTAAGTCCCATTCTTCTTAATGTTGATGCCTGAATTGCTTTATGATTTGCAGTATTTCCTAAATTGCCAGGCTGTGATAAGTAAATCTTCTGTTAGTGTGTATCATTTATAGTGACTTTGGCTGAGTAGTGTGAATGAAATTCTTAGTAGCAGGTAAACTACTTCTAGTTCAGAAATGATTTAATTAAAAAAAAAAATCTTTGAAGGAAAGGGTTACATTGACTACCAGAGATCAAAATGTAGAAATCATCACTCTCACCAGGCAGCTGTGGCACATGCCTTTAATCCCAGCACTCGGGAGGCAGAGCCAGGCGAATCTCTGTGAGTTCGAGGCCAGCCTGGTCTACAGAGCGAGATTCAGGACAGCCTCCAAAGCTACACACAGAAACCCTGTCTCGGAAAACCTGGAAAAAAGAAGAAAAAAAAAAAAGAAAAAAGAAAAAAAAAAAAAAA